TAAAACTGTCCTGAAAAATCCCATTCAATGTTAGGTGTTTCTCATACTCGATTACTGATCTGCAGTTTGGTTTAGGAGCCCTGGTGCACAGTGGTTAAGTGGTCAGCTGCTAAATGAAAGGTCTGCAGTTCAAACTCCACCAGCCACTCTGCAGGAGAAAGACACAGCACTTTGCTTCCATAAAGATGACAGCCTTGGAACCCTAAGAGGCAGTTCCACTCTGTCCTATAGGGCAGTTATGAGTCGGAATCGACTTGATGGCAATGGGTTTTTAGTTTGGTTTGAGGTCTGAGAGCTATGCCTTCTTACATTTATTTTGGAGAAATATCTTACTTATATTGACCTCACAAAAGGCCTGAATGTGAAAATACTAAACTTCAAATAGGAAAAAAGTAAATAAAGTGTAAAATGAGTTGCTAGAGAATACACAGCCTATATGTAAATCTAGTTCATATTCCTCCTTGTTACTCCTTAGGTACCAAACTTGTTATCCCTAGGAGCCACTTCATCTAACTACGACAAAAAAACAGATATTATCAATTGTATTATTATTGCTTGCTTAGTGCCTAAGGTATTTGACTGCTAACCAGATGGCTGGCAGTTCAAACCTACCAGCAACTCCTCAAAAGGAAGGTTGGGCAATCAATCTACTTCCGCACTGATACTGCCTCGGAAACCCAAGGAGGGGTCACTATGAGTTGAACTGACTCAACGGCAGTGAGTTAGGTTTTTTGGGTATATCAGCTTTTGCCACCTATTGATCACCAATGTGTCATCTCTATTGCAAGTGACTCACAAATATTCTTTAATTTAATCCTGATACCAATTACTATTCTCAATCTGCACATGAGAAAACTAAGGTTCACTGTGGGTTAATTTAATTTGCCCAGGATACATCACAGCTAATCTCAGCTGCTACCCAGAAGGTTGCAGGTTTGAGTCCACCCAGAGACACCTTGGGAGAAAGGGCTGGTGACCTACTTCTGAACAAACAGCCACTGAAGGCCCCATGGAGCACAGTTCTGCTCTGACACACGTGGGGCCGCCATGAGTTGTAACTGATCAGATGACAACTGGTTTTTAGTGGTGGCATTAGGATTTGAACCGGTTCAGTCCAATGCCAAAGCTAAACCACATGTGTTTTCTTAAAGTCATGGCGGGGGCCAGGGGGAGAACAAAACAATGAAAATGAGATGGTTACACTCCAAGTTCCTGAACTAGGAGACTTTTACCATAGTCACTGAACAATACTCAGGAAAGGAAGTTTATAATTCAAACATCAAAGCAGAGAAACACCTGAATAATTAGGGCTTCAATGTGAAATATCTCAATCCCAGTTGAAAGGCTGAAGAACATTAACACAAATGTCTCCTAATCACAGAAAGGCATATATGCAACCAGTGCTACAGATTCCTCCCCATCACATGTAATATGCGACAGCAGGGAAACCGAAACACTCTAGACATCTTCGGATGAACCTGGCCTCTTTGCCGGGAATTGGTTTCAGTCTGTGTTTTGCAGTTTTGTGTGAAATCCAAACGGAAGAATTTAAAAAAAAAAAAAAATCTTATCTTTCTTTGGTGTGTAGTATGATCCAACTTGACTACAAACTTCATAAATCTAGAAGACACATATTTTTTTTTTAAAGTTAATCCAATTCTGATGTAGATTAAGCATGACATTTTTTCGCTAACAGGTGGGAAACAAACTCAGAAGCAACAGCTGATTCGCTCTTGTTTCTTTCAATCAGACTGTCCAGTAATTATAGTCATTTACAAACTGCATTCATATCCTTACAGTCTGCAGAGTAAAGAATCTATCAGAAAAACTAACTAAAATCTTCTCTAACATATAAAAGCCAGGCAATAAAGATGTGCTAAGGCCGATGTGAGGACCCTGTTCATCACCAGAAAAAGAACCAGTTTGTGAAACCTAGGTGCTTTCCCCCCAGCTTTTCAGTTTCTCTTCCTCAAATCTGTCCATGTGTACAGAACCTAAGGAGTCCCTGGTTGGTGCAGACAGTTAATGCCCTTGGCTGCTAACTAAAAGGCTTGAGGTCTGAGTCCACTCAGAGGTGCCTGGGAAGAAAGGCTTGGCAATCTACTTCTGGAACACCAGCCACTGAAAACCCTACTGAGCACAGTTCTACTCTGAGCTGCAGTCAACTCAATGGCAGCTGGCTTATAAAAGCTCAGGAAAAGGCATGGCAGTTAAGAAAAGGACCAATTGCCTTAGCAAGGAAACCCATTTAATTATTAGGCTATGTGCAACAGCATGCCTAAAGAATAACTATCATTGTACTCTCTGGAAAACCTGCTCACATCAAGGAATGCAACTCCCGAAGACAAAAAGCTGCTCTCAGACTGGGGCATATTCAGCCAATTACACTGTCCTGCCTGAGTAGAGATTGGGTAGAACGGGGTAGAATGGGGCTTTCACACCATGTGCCAAGGGGATCCCAGACCTGAAAACAGGTGTCTGAAAGGCCGCTCTGTTTTTCTGTTTCTTCAATTTGACACCATCACGGTGGGTGGAGTCAGAACACTCTCCAATACACAATTTGATGAGAAGGCCCAGTTTTTGCTCCCTGAAATTCTAAAGAAGAGTGCCAAGTCCTCCAGTACAAGTTTTGTAGGAATTAAGCCAAGCAGCTTGGCTTGTGATTCAGGTTTGTGAGAGTGGAAGCTCTGGGACCAAAATTACACAAAGGATTATTTTGGTCTGAGGATGTCCTTAATTAGTCAAGTGCTAACAGTAGTATGTAGGTTGGAAGATTTAAAATTTCTCGTAACCTCCCACACCAATCAGAAGAGAACAGCTTTTTGAAAAGCACATGAAAAATTAAGAGTGTCAAGGTCTAAGAAAATTGCTAGCAGTATCTGGGTTGGCAACATTTCTTTCTATAGACCATTCCAAACCATTTAATAAGACTTTATATCTGTATCATGCTTTAAACTACAAAGCCCTCTGATGGACTTTTCAACCTCATAATAAGTCTATGAAGGAGAAAAGGCAGGTAATGTTTCCCCCATTTTACAAATTACTAAAGCTCAGTATTTTAAGGGATAGATGCACCTATAACCATGCCTCAATTCAGACATGAACTAGTCCATTCAATAAATGATTGGGAATTTCCAATCTGCAAAGCTTTGGGCTAGGTGGTGAATGAATAAATCAGCAAATGGAAAATTAAGTAAATTACAGAAAAGACAACAATGAGTGTGGAAGGTAGACAAAGGAAAGTATCTAAAATACAACCATGAAAGTGTCAGTACTCACATCAAACAGCTATTTGTGTGCTTTTCTTTTGAATTGTACACTATTAGAGTGCTCAGAAAGCAAGTCAACATCTATCAGAGACATCTATCTTTCCTACTGATCATGGAACCCTGCATCTTTTCTTAGAGCGAGCTTGTCCCCGGTACTCAGCTGTATACTTCCCTCTGAGACTCCCTACTGTGGATGAACTGTCTGGCTCCATGACAAACTCAGAACAAGAAATGGCGCAAAATCATCCAAAGTGCCTAAAGAAGAAGACAGGGCACACGGAGGACATGGCCCATTTCTGAAATGGTCTTTCTCCAAAGACAAGGCCAACACTTCCTTTGGCTTCCTATATGGCGTCCCCAAATGAGCTGGATCCATTTAAATCACACAGGGAGCATTAAACACATACATTTCCACAAAGGTGGATGCTATAATTGCATGGATGTCATAAAGTGAAGAAAGTCAAAATGGCCTGCTTCTCATCTTTCTTGGGAACATTACACAGCTACTGATTTCAGAAGATCAATTTTGGTGCTGGAGGGACTTGTAGAAAAGGATAAGAACAGAGCTTCACATGCTTATTTCTTGTCATTGCCAACATAGTCTCTGAAAGTATTCTGGAAAATTCATAATGCCCAGGCCAATGTATTTATAGCAAATTAAAGCAATGCTTTGTTATTATGATTATTTCCTTGGTTACAGTGTTGATGCTAAAAATTTAGGGAAAATAAAGACCTTGTTATCAAGCTTATGAAAGATTCTAAGCTAACAAAAAGTTCAGTCTTGATTCCAGGGCAGTTAATTAAGGTTGACCAAGTCAGGCAGAAGT